TGCTTATTAATATAACGCAAATGCACTTAAATAACAAATCTTCAATATATTATCCAAACAAGCCAAAAACCGGTGTTTCTCAAAAGTGGCTCACCCCTATAACTTTTTTATTTTTTTAGCTAAATAAACGAGATTTGGTACGTCAGTATATGAATAAATCAGGATTGATTGACGTATTCAATTGTTTTCTGTCACTTCCTGTTTCACCGGAAATGATTACAACTTTTAATTTTCAAATGGCACCCTTCGTATTTTTTTACTTTATTCGACAGAAAATGACACTCTGACTAGAATGACATATTTGTCAACTTTCGACATTTTAGTTTAAAAAATTATAATTTAAATTTCAATCTAGAGTGCTCCGGCTGTATTAAAAACACTAATTTTTAGTCAAAGGGCCTTGGAAAAATAGATTTGACCGTCTAACAGAATCGGATTTTTAATCATGTCTCAACTTTTTCAGATGGAACGAGGGTGGCTTATTAGCATTTTCTATGGCATAGGTAAGTTAAAAAAATATCGAGAGTGTCATTTAAAAATCAAAAATTGTAGTCATTTCCGGTGAAACAGGAATTGACCGAAAAAAATTGAATACGTAATAAGGTATCTTGATTAAAATTAATGTTTTTAATACAGCCATGACATTCTAGATTGAAATTTAAAATACGATTTTTTTAAGCGAAAATGTCAAAAGTTGCCATATGATATGCCATTCTATTCATAGTGTCATTTTCTATCAAAGAAAGTGAAAAATACCGAGAGTGTCATTTAAAAATCAAAAGTTGTAGACATTTCTGGTGAAACAGGAAGTGACTAAATACAATTGAATACGTCAATCAATCCTAATTTATGTCATATTATACGTTCCAAATATCGTTTTTTTTACCTGAAAAAATAAAAAATTTATAGGGATGAGCCATTGTTTTGTATGGTCGCATCAAAAATAGATTCCTATCAAATATTCCGGAATCGTTAGAATTAGTTGTAAGCATAACAACCACAATTAAATATACTATATTTTTTTCTTCTGTCGCCCTCTGATCGTCCCCTAAAAAGGCAATATTTATGAAGGAACAATAAAACAATAACGATACTGTAAATTCAATAGCATTCCAATAGTGTCAGTATTGAGAGATTGGCTTGGATTTTGTTTTTATTTTAGAATACAATAAAACATTTTACAGTTAAACTATTGTATATTTTCTTTAGGTAGGTAATTATAACAATAAAAAATATTCGCCAATTTTACATGGCCAATAAATATTTCTCTATAGCTATATGGTACGTTGGTTTAGAACAATAGCAGTTAATTTGAGAGGAATCACTGCGTTGTTGTTTATGTTATGGTTACCTAACAATTTGAATGTTTTTCTTACATTTTTAACTACCTATTTCTCTATAAAGGTGATCAGTAGGATAATCAATAAATTACTGCTGTAGATGCAAACTACGAAGTTGCAATTTTTATAGATTACCAAATTGTCATTCGTGGGTTCTTAATATCTATTATTTCAAAGTGATTAAAAGCCATTTATAAAGGGTTTAATTCGGTCAGATAGTTGGTATGGCAGTTGGTATGGCTTCACAACTTTTTCTGGGTGCTTTCGGTACGAGCTAATTTTTGTTCAGTACTGGTGTGGTATGTCAATCAGCAAGCAAGGGATCGCTTCCAAACGTAAAAACGATAACAATTTTTCTTAATGAGGATAATATTAAATTATTTATTAATCAGTCATGAGAAACTCAAAAAAACATAAATACAAGCGAAGAAAAAAACACAAGTAACTTAGAATTCATACATACATCATACAACATAAACCAACTTAACTAAATTTCCAAAAAACCCTTACTTTTTGAATTAAAAATGCCAAAAATGCCTATAAAAACATAACATAAAATATAACCAATACCAACATAGAGCAAGATTCTTCTAAATAAAAATAACATATTTAAACTTCAATAATTAGTAATAAACCATATAGAAACTTCACAAGAGAGAGGAAGTAAGCACACACACACACAGTAAGAAAAATCAACATTCTTGTTCGTCTAGAAGAGATTTTTCGTCCCTGTAGATAGATCTCAGAAATAAAAATGTATTCAGACTGTATTCAGATGTATTGTCACTTAAACAAAATCTAATTATTGCAAAGTAAGCCAGCCAAAGAAAAACCTCTCTCAAGTATGACGCTAGTTGGCGGAATTGTATATGCTTTAGACAAATAACGCCCACGCTTTCCTTTTTTCTCAAAAAGGGTCAGTTCAATCTGATAAAACAGCAACAAAAATGATTTTTAATTATTGATACCGAGTTCTGAAAGTACCGAAAGAACCGGAAATTAATTTCACGGTTCCAAACCCTAATTGTTGGGCCTATTTAGTCGGATAGTATGAAATATCGGACCGTCATCGATTGTCATCGATAGTTATAAATTGGGTCCGAGTTAGATGAGCAGACCATCCAACAGGCCGATCGATCAACCGTGTATCGTGTGGAGGGGTATATTGGCGGCCGATTTGATGATATCGAACATAATTAATGTACAATTATTTTTTTAGTAATTAAAGGCATAACCAAACTTAATAGTTCATTGAAACAATTATTGTCCATTCGAACATAATTACGGTAATCTTCCTAGGTCACTTTTGAGCCAAAACTTCACCCAAACAATGTAGAATGTAGAATGGTAATTACCGCGACCTTACAGATATATGTGTCCCCCTTTCTTGAGTTATAGCTCACCATACAGTTTCAGGGCTTCGACAAAAAACAGTATCTGAGACGGTTTTACAGAGGTTAGTTCTCCATTTATCAATAGTACCAAAGTTCATGGCACAAATGTTTATTGACACTCGACACACTCAGTGATGAGGTGTTCTGGTGTCTCCCCATTTTTCCCATAGAGTCTGTATTCGCCGTTTTTTATTAGCTTGAATCTACTGAGGTGTTCGTTGAGAAGACTGTTAAAAACCCCGAGACAATCCGAAGATTGTTTTTACTTAAATCAACGAAATTCTTTGATTTTTCTCGGTCGAGTTCTTTTGAAGTTCTAGGTAACGATAATGCGAGGGCAATACCGATTTTTGTTAAAATAGCCATGTGTACCGATAAAAAGCGAAATTTAACTGATGATTACAAACAGAATTACTGTGATCTGGGTAATATGGAGAAAGTATCCAATTTCGTCGACTCGGCCGTTGGGTTAACTAATTTTTTTTCTATCTATATCAAGGGACATTGTCATTGTCATTGTCAGATTTTATTGTAGTCCTCTGATCACCATTAAAATCTCCTAGACGAATCCTTTAGATAAAGTCTGAAACTCGGGAACTGAACCATCCAAATAGCTCTTTTCTAGAAGTTTATCATCGCAAAGTGCAAGAAACCATATGGTTGCTATGTATTGCTAAACCGTAAAATTGGACGAGTTGATTATGAACTGTTATGAACTGATTATGAACCGTTTTACCTATATCTGTTCTTGTGAATTTTCACAATATTCACACAATTCTAGGAATATTTTTATGGTCAGTCACTACAGTTTTCTTGTCAATTTTATTACTGACATGCAGCATCGCTGTATTTGTTCTGGTCCGACGAATGAAACTAATGGATCTTGTTTATTATATGCTATACTAGCATCTATACTAGCGTGTACCAGCGACTTAGTTCGCGTCGAATTAATCATTTGTAATGGTGATGATAAAGCAAAGCAAGAATTTCCATTAACATACAAACTGGATAAAATTTTCTCACATGACTTTCGAAAAATCCCTTTGCCAAAAATAAGCTTTTTAGGTCAAGCAGTTTAAGCAGAATCGTGATTAAGAAATTACCCAACTTTTTGGAACACCCTGTATGATTTTTTAAAACTTTCAAAATATGTAAAAAACCCAAATAAATTATGCTTGTCCAAGAGTTTTCCCAAAAGACTAACCGTTTTTTAAATAACAAATATTGTAATATTTGAGGGGCGTTTTCACCCTCTTGGAATTTGAGATTCGAGAAACCCCTCCTTATCGAACCTCTACACCCCACAGTCAATCCGTTTACCAAAAAACAGCTTTAAACGTCAAGCAGTTTAAGCAGAATCGTGATTACTCAATGGTCATATTTTATGAAACACCCTGTATAAAAAAAAATCTTAAAATATGTAAAACAACAAAATAAAATATACGTGTTTAAGAGTTTTTCCGAAAAACTCACCGGTTTTTAAATAAAAAATATTTTAATATTTAAGGGATAGTTTCACCCCCTTAGAATTCGAGTTTCGAAAAATCCCTTCTTATCGACCTCTACACCCTAAAGTCAATCTGTTTTCCAAAAATCAGCTATTTACGTCAAGCGCTTTAAGCAGGATCGTGATTAATCAGTGACCAGATTTTTCGAAACACCCTGTATACATTTTTAAAAAATCTTAAAATATGTAAAAGAAAAACAAAATAAAATATACGGGTTTAAGCGTTTTTTCGGAAACTTGGCCGTTTTTTAAATATAAAATATTGTAATATTTGAGGGGTGGTTTCACCCTCTTGGAATTGGAATTTCGAAAAATCCCTTCTTATCGAACCTCTACACCCTAGAATCAATCTGTATGCCAAAATTGAGCTTCTTACGTTGAGTGGTTTGAGCAGGATCGTGATTAATCAGTATGCCAGTCACTTAAGGATTTTATATATTAGTATAGATATGTATTCTATGTTATATGCTATCTATGTATTCTATATTATATGTTATATGTATTATTGCTACGTACTTAGTATGTACCTACAAAAGAATAGAATAAAAAAAAATGAAGAAATATTGATAATGGATGGAGTTTACTATCCTAAACACCATGTCATTCTTATTAACAAAAACAATAAATAGTTTGACAGAGATGTTACAATATTTATGTTATATATATATTATATTATATTTTAAACTATTCGGGAAAGTTTATTAAATAGTATATTTTGGAAGAATAACTAATTTAAGAATGTTTAATTTTATATTTCAGTATGGACGATACATTTATGTCGTTTCAATCAAAGGACCCTATAATCAACATACCCATGGAAAAGGTTCCAAAAGAAAAGGGTGAGGGTGGTGCACACGGTCATGGTCTACCTGTAGAACATCCTACTTCGTAAGTATCTGACTGAAATTGCATTTTTAAATGCCAGTTGAATTAATTTGTTCGTTAACCCGGCATGAACGTTATAAACGGTATGAACTTAATCTGGTACATAAGTACCGTCCAACAGCGGCATAATGTAATTTAAACATCAAATCCCGTACCGAAAAAAACGAAAAATATGAGTGAAACTAAAGCAATCAAAACACGCTTACAGCGTATTTTGATTGATATAGCTATGCCTAGGCATTAACCTAACTTATGGTCAACCAACCGCCAACTCATTACTGTTTTGAGACCCTCCATTCTGACGAACTCATTTCAAAATGATAACATATTTTTTTTCATTTGGATTGGGGATTGGGTGATAAAAAAGTTTAATGTTTGTTGCTTTCTTATTTTCCAACTAAAATGTCAAAACTGTTAATTTTTGTATGCAATAAAATATAGTTTTATTTTGACAACAGTACCTATTCGTGAAACTTACGTTGGGGAAAACAATAACACAAAAAAAATTGCAAAATAAGAGCGGTATCTATTTCTGTTTTTTAAAGTATACCGCCGAACGACGACATTCTTTTATATTTACCAACTACCGTCGTACTTGAAAAATGTACCCCGTTGTTCGGCGGTATTCGTGTTAATAAATATGAAGTCTTTTTTGTTGCCTATATCGCCCGCGGTAATTTGCCAGATTTTTTAATGAGGAAATTATTTCTCAAAAATTATTATTCAATGTTATGCAAAAAAATCATTATTGATTAAATATTTAATAACTTTCAACAACAATTTCGATGTTTACAGTAGACATATTTGAATTATTGACTTTTATAATGAGCTAAAATATTTCGATGTCAACGTCGAAATATTTAAGGTCTTGTGTGCGAATTTCGGGCCATTTTATATTTATTTACCAATTAAGTAATTTTCCACTACAGTACAATAGTTGTTTGAATCAATGTAAGGAATTTCTACAATTTGCACCTTTCATTCATCCCAGATTTATTTGATTGTCATTGATTTTATTATATTTGTTTTTAGCTACGTTGAAACACTGATGCATTTGCTGAAGGGCAACATAGGATCTGGTATATTCGCCATGGGCGATGGTATGAGAAATGCCGGTATTATCGTAGGACCTATTGTGGTGCTCATATTAGGGCTAATATGCACGCATTGTCAACATCTGCTGGTAAGAGACTTAAAGATTAAGGTTTATTGGTAGTCACGTGTCACACAAGGCAGTCATGTCTCAGTTTCATCACCGTATTGTCTCATGAGTCATATTTTAACCAGAATTAACAAACTAAATAAACAGTATGAAGAATATAGAAGTATCGTTTACAGTGTTCTCTTAAAAGCAATAAGAAAACATTGTTTTTTTTTAAATGTTCGTCGACCATACTTTTGTTGAAAGTCGGGGAAAATCAATAACTTTCCCAATCAGCTCGATATATTGATGATGTTACCAGTATTGCTCATGAACCATTATTACAGTTATATTAATAAATTAAGGCAGTAAATAATCATAACATATACTAATACATTATAATAAAATTAAATAATAAAAGTATTGTAATAATTATATTCCTGCAGGTTAAATTTAAGAAAAGTTTTGTTTTTAAATGCATATACCTGGTGCGCCTCAAAAGTGGCTCACTCCTATAACTTTTCTATTTTTACAAATAAAAAATCAAGATTTAGTATATTAGTATATGACATAAATTAGCATTGATTGAAGCCGTATTCAATTGTTTTCGGCCACTTCCTGTTTCACAGGAAATTACTACAACTTTTGATTATTAAATGGCACCCTCGGTATTTTGTTACTTTATTCGATAGAAAATGACACTCTGAATAGAATGACATATCATATGTCAACGTTTTACATTTTCGAATATGGTTTATTTGAAATTGCAACATGCGATAACAACAATTTGACACGAAATACCCAGTGTCTGGTACAAAATTATTCTTAAAAAATGCTTTTTCCAAATATGCTAATGAGCCACCCTTGTTCCATTTGAAAAAATTGAGATATGCCAGGACAAGACACTAAAAACATATCAGACGATCAAATCTATTTTCCAAGGGTCCTTGATTAAAAATTAGTATTTTTAACACATCCTAGATTGAAATTTAAATTACAATTTTGTTTTAAGCGAAAATGTCAAAAGGTGACATATGATATGTCATTCTATTCAGAGTGTCATTTTCTATCGAATAAAGTAAAGATACCGACGGACGGTGCCATTTAAAAATCAAAAGTTGTAGTTATTTCCGGTGTAATAAGAAGTGGCCGAAAAGGATTGCATACGTCAATCAATCCTAATTTATGTCATATACTAACATTCCAAATGTCGTTTTTACATCTGAAAAAATAAAAAAGTTATAGTGGTGAACCACTTTTGAGACGCACCTGTATACTATAGAAATTATAAAAACTCGTGAAAAGAGTTTTTTTTTGTTTATTATGTTCTTATATTTTATTTCCATTTTGTGGAATATGATTGTCAATTTTCTTAAAATTAATAAATGTTACTTAAACATAAATGTCATTTACTATATAGTTAGCAAAACAGGTCTATTTTTTGGAATTTTTAAAAATCTAATTCTTAGTTATAGGTAATTATTATCAGAAAATACTTTAGATTAATTACATAATATTTTTAACTACACAAATATTCTAAAAACTCTGTAAACTTCCGGGTTCTATTTCATAATCGAAATCTAAAAAAAATCTTTGGTTTGGAAGATTTCCAAATTCCTGTTCGAATCTGGGCCTATTAAATGAAATCCCATTTTTTTAATACTAAAAATATATAAATCGTCTTCACATTTCATTCTTTATAACATATTTCTCGTTGTTGACGAAAGCAGTCGCCGGAAACATGAACCTTCCAAAATGTTCCTCTTTCAGGAAACTTCAGTTGTGCTGTTTTTATGAAAATGATAGTATCTCTGTTTGACGCGGTTTGTTCCGTTTGACGATAATCTGCCTGATAAAAATTGGAGATTTATTTCTGAAATATTCAAAAAATGTTCCAGTAACAATAAAGGTTGATTCTCACTATACCATCCGTTTCCATTCCATATCCGTTCCGTATTTTTTATTGTATTGACACTATACGTAACCTTCCTTTCCGTATCAGTTCCATAGTTTTCATTGTACAATTTATATCATTATGAAAGTTTTATTTTAAAAATTTGTATCTTTTATAAAAGGTAATAGATTTAATTAAGAGGTGAAAGAATAAATAAATATAAGCAAAATTTTAACAGAGCTTCAGTCCGTCCGTCAAAAAATTTATGGAACGGATAGTGTGCATTGTCCTATTCATTTACATGATATAATATTTTATGTAAACGGAAGGTAGCTGATACGGAAGGTACAGTGAGAATCAACCTTAATTGTTCCCCTTTCTATTATTTGAAGTACGTTTAATATAGCCAAACTTCATTATTGTAACTCTTGGAACCTATAAAAATCATCAAACTATTTTAATCGTCAAACTTGTTATTTAAGCACTCTATAAGAATTGTTTTAATGTTCATGTTAAAATTGTTCTTTTTCTACTTATCTATTTCAAATCTGGCCATCATTGCGTGATGTATAAATTACTTAACCGGAAATCTTGTTAGCCAGTCTGTACATGCTAGTTTTCATATATATTTTTTTTATTTTGGACGAAACTTAAAATCAACATAAAATACAGGAAAAAATAACAGTTCATTGAATTATATTTCTTGGAAAAACAACACCCTAAACTTATTTTTATATTCTAAATAAATTTAAATAATCAAGCAGGATAAAATAGTATAAAGAATGAATTTATGTCTAATAGCACTAATAGGCATCTTTAGCATCTTATTGTTAATTGATTATAAAGCTGTAGAGTTTGTTCATTTTCACAAAGTGGTGGCCCATAGTAAAAAACTTAATAATAAAATCAAGAACAAAGTCCAAATTTTTTGTCAAGGAATTTTATATATAAAACTTTAACTTTCGATTGTAAATTAGATTTAATTTTTTACCTAATTAACCATATTATATAGTAGTTTCTTTTTTTAGTTATTGTCTAGAAATTGTTTTGTTGTTATTGAAAAATATTACAAAGCTCAACAATATCAGTCAAAACTTCAGGAATGAGGTTGACATTTAGATTAAAATAATAAAAAATAAAATTTACAATATTAGCGAACAAGGTATAACACAAAAAAAATAAAAAAAGGCGTGTGAAAAAAAGCGTACGAAATGGAAACATGTCTATCAAATATTTTAGTTCTCATAGAATTATTTTATTATTTATTTACTAAACACAGTTCCGGTATATACTGGTTTTCTTTAAATTTTTATAAACATCTAATGCTGAAACTATCTATTATTGTAGAGGGATTGGCAATCGTTCATTACAAAATACCACTGAAAGAAAACCACATTGATCTGGTTTAAACAATTATACCTGTAGAGAACCTTTAAAAATATCTTAGTTTTGCATAGTATTTAACCTTAGAGATATTAAAGTAGTAGAGTAAGTTCTAAGAAGCTACAGCGCTTCATAAAAAAAAATTAAAATACATACATATTATATATAAAGTCTGCATAATATGTATTTATTTTTATTAATCAATCTAACTAAAATTTGTTTTCGACAGTGGTTCTTGCATTGATGTAGATAAAAAATATTCTGCTGCTTTTGGCCATCTATAAAAATCTGTTAAGTTCATTTTATATACAGATTAAAATAACAAGTAATATTTTTAGCCGACCATACCAACAGGTATGGTAGGCTATTAAGATCGGCAACATTTTTTTTTAATTTCACTCAAAATGAGTTATTTGGGTCATAAATGACCTAAATACAAAATATTTTCATGGTGTCTGTCTGTCTGTCCGTCTATCTGCAACACGATAACTCAAAAACCGCTAAACCGATTTTAACCAAATTTGGCACAAAAATACTGTGGCACTCGAGAATCTGGCCATTAGTTTTTGGTGGGGGTGGCGGGTTGTTAAGGGGTTATGGGAGGGTGTTAAAAATTTTAAAATATCGTAACTCCAAAATTACAGTAGCTAGCGAAACGCGGTTATCAATTTAAGATTAGGAATAATATTTGCAACAAAATTTGTAATAACATCAAGATCAGTCAAAGTCGCATTTTTTGAGATAAAAAGAATTGGAAAATTCCGTTTCTTTGAAACTAAAAGAACTGCCTTCCAACTTTTTATTAATATATTTTAGTATGGGCGCCAATTTTTCGATTTTTTCTAAGGTTTATCTAAAGAAGCGTATACCATATGATGGTAAAAATAGAAAAAAAAATTGTTTGTCTTTTTATCTTTAATAGTTTTATAGTTATTCCAGTTTTTACGTAGTAATGTTCTCATTTATATACAATTTTATAATATATTTTAAATTAAATCTTTAACCTATGCAAGACTTAAACTTAAATGTCCAAAAAAAAACAATTAATTAATTACCCATTAAGTACAAACGTGCTGGTCTCTCTCTTAGTTTTAAGGTAGCCACACATCGCCTACCCATGCTTGAGATGCAGTTGTTTATTTTTTTATTGGTCAACTAATGGCCCCTGTTCCAAAAGTCTTTCTGTTTCTGAAGATCCATATTGTACATCTCAGGTAGAGCTGTAACACGTTGAGCGCCACGTGCCCACCGGTGGGCATTTCAATTTTGCAACGGAGGATCAAGTGACCACCGGTGGACATTATTGATTTTCATTGCCAGGACAACATGCCTACCCGTGGTCACACGATGCAATACATTTCAAGACCCTTTTAGACACCGTTTTTTTTTCGATCATGCTGTAATTTTATTTGCTGATATACTTTACCATAACAGATAATACTGAAACACAACTAACTATTTCCTCGATTATTAGTCTATTAATTTTGATCTCTATGTTTTGACGGATGTAAGAAATCTCTGATGTAGAACGAAACGTTTAAATTACACCTATTAATTAATATTGAATTATCTCTATCCGCACCGTTTCCAAGATTTATGGTGTTATTTTTTTTCAAGTGGTAATGCGTAAGAATTCTGAGCTATTTCGTTTGAAATTTGTAGTAATTTTCCATAAAAAGCTAATTTAGAGATAAGTCGCTTATTAAGTACTTAAACCTGTCTAATTTACAATTCAGGAGCTTAAATTATAATGTAGATTAGTTTG